AGCAGTGAACAAGCCAGAGGAAACTCCCTGCCCTCAGGAGCTCACTTCTAGTGCAGACACAGATGACAAGCACAGGAACAAATCAATCTCTGGGTGTCACTGGAACAGAGATCAGAATGGAGTGAGAAGGAGGAGCACTCCGGGCAGGGGCAACAGCAGGTGCAAATGTGCCTGGTGGGTGGGGGGATCCTGGAGGAGGCCAGTGTGGCTAGATTGGAACAGGACAACCCCCTCCTCCAAGCAAGTCACTAGCTCACCCACCCCACCCCCACCCACTCCACGGGCACTGGGGAAGTCTGGCTGGTTCTGCTGCCCCGCGGCCAGTGTCCTGGGTGAGTCGTGAACTGAGCTGAGCCCCAAGCCCTGCTTCCTCACCAGCAGTTACTGGGGCCTGGACTCCCCGTTTCCCAAGGTTCTCCTACTTCAAAATTCAGGGGACTGTCAATTCTTGGAGCCATAAGGTTGCTTTATTTGGGGGCATTCAAGACATTGACTGACTCAGGGACACGCACATGAGGTTGTCTCATCCATCCTGAAGCCTGCACTGCCCATACCTTCCCGCCCCTCCTGAACAGCCTCCAGTCTTTCCCATGTGACGGGCTTCCAGAGGAGGAAGTGTTCATTTCTCCCTGGTTTTGATGTCTCTCCGAGCTTCTGGCTCCAGGCTCCACTTCCACCCCAGTCCTTCGCAGTTGGGAAGTTCTTTAACTCTAACCTCCTTCCCTGTTGCTGCGATGTCAACTTCCTATCTTTTCTCTTATCTTCTTCTGAACTTACCCAGAAAAATGAGTGTGCCTGACAGGAATGTTCCTTGCCTTCCTTTTTTCCTCACCCTGCCTCCCCTGAGTCCCTGAGTTTCCAATCTGCCATCTGCGGGAATCCTCTCAGGCACAGAGCCTGAGCTCTCTCAGAGCCTGGGCTGGGAAGGATGGCGAAGCTGGTGAGGCTCGGCCCCACGCCTCTAGTGCCTGGGCCCCTCCATGCCTCTGCCTTCCCCTGGAGCTCAGCTCTTTCTCTGGGTCTCTCGTGCTCTCCCTTTCCTCTCATGCTCTCTCTCCCTCACTTGCCCCGCTGTGTGCTTGAGCCTGCATCTGTCGATCTCTGACCTGTCTTTCTGTTTCTCTGTCTGGCTGTGTCTCTGGCCCTTTCTGCCTTTTGTATATCTCCTCTCTCTGGGGCCTGCTGCCTCCGCACCTCTGCCTCATTCCTTGTACGAGGTGGGGGTGGAGAACAAGTGTGCCCTCATGTTGAGGCCTCCCCTGGGGTGGCTGGGGTGAGAAAGGCAGTGTGGTGTCCTGCCCAAGTTCTGGGCTTTGGGTTCCAGTTGCAGCTGTGCCACTTGCAGGCTGTGTGACCCCGGGCAAGTTCCTTCAGCCTTCTGAATCTGCTTCTCTATCTGTAAAATGGTCGTAAGAACTGTCCCTTCCTCTTAGGGCCATGGGGAGAAGCCAGAGGCTTGAACAGTGAGCAGTGCTTAGCAGGACACCCGCACACAGTGAGTGCTCAATAAATGCTTCCCATCACTAAGGGGTGTGCCAGGAGCTGGGAGACAGGCCACAGAGCCAGTGGGGTGTGGAGCTGGGAGTGGGGTGTCAGGCATATGTTGCACCCTGTGAGCACGGATGAGGGCAGGGGCCTCAGGGAGGACAGCTGGTGTTCAACACGCCTGTGGCTTTGCCTGCCCCCCCTGGAATTGTTGGTTTTGCATGACAAGGTTGGGAGTCTCTGGGGCCCCTCACCTCTGGTGACACTGACCTGGGAGGCGAGCACCTCTTCCTAGCTGTATGTTTGGCCTTGGGCGAGTGACTTGGCCTCTCTGTGCCTCAGCTTCCTTATCTGTGAAGTAGGATTAACAGCAATCTCCTCTCACAGGGCTGATGGGGGAACTACGTAGCTAATGCAAGTAATGCTCCCGGGATGGCACCTGGTCAGTGCCAGGTTCATGTTGGACATTACCAGTTTTTGGTAATTATGTTATTCAGGTTGGTCCAAGTCAAGTGTGTACACCATGCCTGGTTTGGGGAACATGCTTGGAAGAGGTGGGGTTAGTCAACATTCCTGTTTTCTGTGTTGAAAGGATATATCTGGGGACAGATGGGGCCAGGTGTCCCCTCATCACAGAGCCGTATCCAGGAGTGTGGCTCATGCAGGTGGTATCTGAGGTTTAGGACAGAGATATGGTTTTTCTCAGAACATGGACCTTTAGTGAAGTGCATGGAGCTGCATTGGGGACCTCTTGTTTGGGACCTAGGGTCTAGTATCTGAGACTTAGCCAGGTGGTGTCATGGCCTCGAGGGAGACCTGGGACATGTGTGTCCAGCTAAAGGCAGTTGTATTATGGCATATTGATGTGCTGCCTCTGCCAGGCAGTCCTCCTGGGATGGGAGGAGACCTCAGAAGAGGGAGATGTCCAGAGTCTGGTGGGCCTGAGATGTGCCACTGTTGGAGATGTGCCACTTTCAAATCTGATTAGTCTCTAAACTTCTATCCTAAACTCCAGTCTACCATTTCCAATCTCCTGCATGTCCTGGGCATGCGGAACTGGGGATGTGGCAGAGCAGGCGTGTCTGTGTGTGAGTGTGGGGGGAGTGCGGTGTAACTGGGGAGGAATGTAGACCAACAGCAATGATAGCGTATTTGCTCACCCCTTCATCCGATGTTTGCTGGGCGCCTGCCATGTGCCAGGCACTGTCATAGGTCCTGGGAATGAAACAATGCACAAAGCAAACTCAGTCCCTGCCCCTGGGGAGCTTACATTCAAGAGTATGGACATATGAGGGCACTTCAACAAGTTCACAAAAAAATTCATAGTATCATTTAATTCTATTTTTCCACAAACTTTTTGAAGTACCCTTGTATAAGAGGTCAGATGGTGATAAACGTTATATAAAAAAATAAAACAGAGAAGATTCTGGAGAAGAACAGTGGTGCTATTTGATGTGGGATGGCCAGGATAGCCTCACAAAGTAGGTAACATTGCAGCAAAGGCCTGACAGAAGACAAGAAGTGACCTGTGGACACCTGGGGAGGACACTCCAGGCAGAGGGAAGAGCAAATGCAAAGGCCCTGAGGCCACAGCGTGCACGCCTATTCTGGACACAGTGAAGAGGCCAGTGTGGCCCGAGGTCGATGAATGAGCATAGGAAGGCAGGAGACGAGGTCAGAGAAATGGCCCCGGCTGGGAAGCAGAGTCTTGTAAGCCCAGGTAAAGTCGTTGCTTTTACTCTGAGACGTGAGCCGCAGGAAGCTGGTGAGCAGAGGAGGGCCCGGATCTGACTTGGATGTTGACAGGATCCCTCTGGCTGCCTGTGGGGAACAGACAGGGAGTGGGGCCAAAGTCAGAAGTGGGGAGACAGCGAGGAGGAGACTGTGGTCGTCCAGGTGGGAGACGGTGGCCAGGCCAGGGAGGTGGCCAGGGGTTGGGGATGAAAAGTGATCTGATTCTGCATTTATTGTGGAGATATAGCCATTTATTGAGCGTTTAGCTACTCAATCCCCATAACAGCCCTGAGGTAGACAGTTTGATTATTGCTCTTTCACAGTGGAGGAAACTGTAGCTCAGAAAAATGAAGTCTCTGGCCCGAGGTCGCACGGGAAGTGAGCAGCAGCTTCCGAATTCAAGCCCAGGCCTCTTGGCACTTAACCAGCAGCTCTGCTGTTGCAAATTCACCTTCTGTGGCCTGCGGGCACCCCTGCGGGCATCCTGAGCTTCGGGTGTAGGTAGCATTTGTCAATGTCTATACCAGTGTCTGGCACATAGTAGGGACTTGGCAAATATTTGCTGGATAGATGGATGGATAAGTTGAATGAATGAATGTGGCTGCCCTGAACTTTCTGCAGAAGTGTATCAGGAGCTGTATGTAGGATACGGCTAAGATCCAGGGGAGCAGGGTGCGTCCAGGGGTGGGTTTCTTTGTGGCATGAGTAGGGACTGAACCTCAGCTGAAGGACAGGGGTGACAGTGACATAGGCCCAGATTCGCTGGTGTATCATGGGTGAGGGTTGCAGTAAATGGCTGTGTGGTATGGCGGAGGGTGAGTGGGGGTAGTTCCTGGGGTGCAGGAGCACCTGCAGTGGAGCCTGGGCAAGGTTGTCTGCCCTCGCCTCGGGCTGGGGGTGGGTGATGCAGCAGGGGTGGTTTGGGCCAGCGGTGGGGAAGGGGGGTCAGCAGCAGCCCAGCCTGGCTATGCAGCCTCTGAGGCTGTCTGTGTGCCACGAGGCTCAGGCTTGGCACAGCCCAGCCCCCACTTCCCTGGGCAGCCCAGCCGAAAACCTTCCTCCCCCACTTCCCCCGACCTTCCCTCCTTCCCTGGCTGCCCAGAACCAATGGGTTAATTAGATAACGGAGACTTTGATTAGCGGGGGAGGGGGCGGCCTCCCCCTGGCGGCATAGGGAAGGGGGGCCGAGGCGGAGAGAGGAAGGCGCCCTCCCCGTCCAGAAGGAGAGAGAGAAGGAGGGAGGAGGCGGGGAGGGAGGGAGCTGAGGCACAGCTTGGCTCTGCACTGCCGTGTGACTAGAAATTGTAATCGCGGAGAAAGGGAGAGAGACAGACAGAGCTGGGCGAGAGAGAGCAAGACAGACGGACAGACAGACAGAGAATCTGACCAAGACGGGCTCTGGGCCAACGAGAGGGTGGTAGAGATAGAGCAAGAGTGAGGAATAGATGGAGGAGAAGGAGAGAGGGGTCCCGGTGGTCCCCAGGGAGGCGAGACTGTGAGGAGGGGTAGGCTGAGGAGGGGGGCAGAGACCAGAGGCAGAGGGGCAGGGAGAGAGGAGAAGGGGGCTGGGGTCAGGGGCTGGAGAGAAAGGAGGCTGGCAGCGGGGGGAGAGTGGAGGTAGAGGTGGAAGTGGGGGTGGAAGAAGACAAGAGGAGGCCATCAGGGAGAGGAGAAGAGGACTGCTGCAGTGGCCGAAGGACGGCCTCCCTGTGGGAAGGTGACAGGCGGGGGGGGGGGCGTGGGGAGACCCAAGAAGCCCCTGCGCCCCCCCAACACGATCTCGACGGGAAGCCCTGGAAAACTGGGGAGGCAGAGTCCTCCCGGCTGGCTGGAGGCATGTGGAGGGGGGGCCTGGGGCGCAGGGAGAGGCCCAGCAGAAACCGAGCCACCAGGGTGAGTGTCCCTCACTGTGGGCTGGTGGGGAGAGACAAGGACAGGAGATGGCGGAGGGCGAAGGAGGGAAGGGGAGGGAGGCCAAGCCTGCTGCAGAAGCTGTGGGGGTGGGGGGACTGTCAGCAGGAGAGACGGGGACAGATGCGGAGGTAAAGACAGCAGCAGCAGGCCTGGAGGACCGGGTCAGGGGCCGCGGGCTCACACAGGCCCTGTGAGGACCCCCAGCCTCAGATCCTGGCCCTGTTGGGTTGCACCAACCCCGTGGCTCAGAGAGTTGAGCTGGGTCATCACCTGACTCTTATGAGGTGGGGATGGTGAACCCAGGACAAGCACTGAGCATCACCCTACCTGGTCACGTGCTGGTAAACGAAGACCCCCACTACCCTCACAGAGACGAATAGATACAGACAGACACAGTCCCAGCCCCCCAGGTGAAAAATGAGCCAGGATACAGGTGTGGCGTCAGCCTCTCCCTCTCTCTGTCCCTGTCTCTATCTGCCTCTCGCTCTTGCTCTCACACGCGCACTTGGCCCCAGGCATATGCATACGTGTTTTTATCTGGGTTAAAATGATCCTGAAACTGCAGGAGGAGGGAGTGAATGCGTGTGTGTGTGTGTGCGTGTGTGTGCATGCACGTGTGTGGGGGTGGCCTGTGTCTGTGGGTCTGAGGGTCCTCCGTGAGAGGGCGTGCCCCTGTCACTGCTGTTTGTAGGAGTGGGTTGGTGTGCATGTTTGTGTGAACCTCTCCCCCCACCCCCATCTCTTGGGGACTCTTTGGGGTTGGCCTGTGTTGGGGCAGAGCTTGCTGGTGTGGGTGCATTTTTATATACTCAGAGATGCTGCGTGGAAGGGAGGGTTGGAAGCCAGAGGGGTAGACCCAGGCCTGAAATCCTCCTTTGCCACTCAGCTGACCATCTCCATGCCCTCGGACGAGCCATTTTCCCTCCTAGTGCCTCAGTGTCCTCACCTGTAAATTGGGCATCCTAACAGCTTCCTCCTACGGTATTGTGATGCTTGAATGAGACGACCAGCTTACAGTGTTGGTGCATAGAAAAGGCTTACCCAGTGTTCAGGAGCAATTACTGTCGTTGCTGTTACCACTGTTACTGTCATCCTCTTTCTCTTTCTGGTCCTATGGAAATGGGCGGGGGAGGACAGATTGCAGGGGCAGGAGGGTGCAGCAACGACTTCTCAGAGTACCTGACTCCCCCCTGCACACTTCCCTCCCAGAACTCAGGCACAGGGTCCCTGGACCTCCATCCCCCTCCTCATAACCCCCACCAGCACTATCCTGCGGCAGCTGCTGGCACGGGTCCCGCCAAAGGCTGTCTTTGCCTTGAGCACCTGCAATCTCAGGGCAAACGGGTGGGCTGCTGCAAGCCTCCCAGCTGTGCCGCCACCCCAGGCCCCCTTTGGCCACCTCCTCCCCCATTCCAGCCTCCTCCCTCTGCCTGCTGCCTCCTGGCCCTCAGCGCTCCCCTGCCCGCACCCCTCACCTCAGCATTCGCTTTGTCTGGCACTTTAGCTTCTTCCCCAAGTTTCTTCCTTGCGTCTGACTCAAGTCCCTGCAGCTGCTGCAAGGCCCACAGTGCCTAGACAGGTGAGGGTGACCCAGGAGCAGGGTGTGCAGCGTGGTGCAGGCCGGCTTGGGGTGCTGGGCAACTCGCCTCTTTGCTAACGCTCAAGAGAGTAGAGAGGTGAGTGAATAGGAGGCTGGGATCGACCTCCCAGTGGCTCACGCAGGTGGCGAAGGGACCTAGATGGGTACTGTGGTAGGAGCCGGACCCCAGTCCAGACTGCCTGGCTTCCTCTTCACCCTTTCTGTCACCTTTGCCCTGTCTGTCTCTCTCTCACTCCATCTCTACCTAGTTATCTACCTTTCTGAAATCATGCAAAGAACTAAGTTTTGAATCTGGCTTCTTCACTTACTGGCCAGATGACCTCGGGCAATAACTCCCTCTCCCCAGACTCAAGTTTTTCTCTCTGCACAGTGGGCATGAGATCTTCGCAGCACAGAGAGGCTGAGAAGAGCACGGGGGAAGGCCAGGCCACCCCTTCTTTCTGCCTCCCTCAGCCTGCTAGGTGGGTCCAGCTGCATCTGTCTCGCTCTCCCTGCCCCCTTTGGTCCTGAGCTTTGGACAGAGAGGTGGGGATAGAGCTGCCTGAGTGTTGCTGAGCACCCAGGCCACTTGGGATCCCTGCCCCTTACTGAATCTCTCCCCCTGTCTCCCCCTCACAGCCCCCCAGCGTTCACTTGGAGCATGAACATTGAGGATGGCGCGTGCCCTCGGCTCCCCGTGCCCCCCGCTGCCGCCTGGTAGGATGTCCTGGCCCCATGGGGCACTGCTCTTCCTCTGGCTCTTCTCCCCACCCCTGGGGGCTGGTGGGGGCGGCGTGGCTGTGACATCGGCTGCTGGAGGGGGCTCCCCACCAGCCACCTCCTGCCCCGCGGCCTGCTCCTGCAGCAACCAGGCCAGCCGGGTGATCTGTACGCGAAGAGAGCTGGCCGAGGTCCCAGCCAGCATCCCTGTCAACACGCGGTACCTGAACCTGCAGGAGAATGGCATCCAGGTGAGCCAGGCCGGGCAGGCGGTTGGGGGGGACAGGGACAGGTGGTGCTGGGGGAGGTGCGCAGACGGTAGCCTCCTCTCCTTCTAGCTGGCCTTGGTCTCCCTCCGAGCCCCTGCACTGGCAGGGGTCCTTCTGGGCATCCCTGCACCAGCTCTTCATGTCCATCCCCTGGGCACCTGTGAGATGCAGTTTGTATCCTATTAGCTTGACCTGGCTTATGAGGTGGAGCCAAGGCTATCTGGGTTTTCTCAGCACAGTACTCCCTGTCTCTGTGCCAGTGTACTGGGGCCCTGGGCGCAGGGCCGCCTGCCCACCCCCACAGCACAGGACAGGCAAGCCCTCAGCCTGAGCTGAGCCCTGGAGTCACCAGGGCTGAGAGCAACCTTTCCAGTGGGGCCTCTGTGCCATCTGTGCCACTCCACCCTTGTGTGGCCTAGGCCGTGACAGTATAACTCTGAGCCCCAGTTTCTTCATCTGAAAACTGGGGTAATAAGAGCCCGTGCCTTGAGCGGTGGTTTGCAGGCTGAGGGTTCACACTTGTCAAGGGTTTAGAGTTGGTTCTGGCACCTGCGAGCGGTCAGTGGATGCAAGTTATTTCTGTCATCATTCGCTGTGTAATATGGGCTCACACCCCTGTCTCTTGGAGTTAGTGTGGGAATCGGAGAGCTGGGAGCTCCCCAGTGCCTGGAGCTGTGTTGACACCTGGGGGTGCTCAGGATGGGGCAGTTGCCATTTGATTAATTATGAACGTGATTAAGATAGGCTATAAATGATACCTTGGGGGGTAGAGCTGTGCTGTTTTAAAGCAGGTTTCTCAAACCCTGCTCTATTGACATTTGGGGTCAGACCATCCTTCATTGTGTGGACGGGGGGGGCAGCTGACCTGTGTACCATAGGATGTTTAGCAGCGCTCCTGGCCACTAGATGCCAGTAGCACCCCGCCCCCAGTTCCAAAAATGTCTGCAGACATTATTAGCATTTTCTCAGGAAAATGAATTTAGAAGAAGAATTTTTCCAGGTGACTGTGTGTACCAGGCAGCCTCTAAGGTGGTCCCCAGTATTCCTCACCTTCTGGTGTTTGTATCTGTGTTTAGTACCTACTCGTTGAACATGGGCTGCAAAATATATTACCTCACTACTGATAAATAAAATATGAAGAAGTGATGGGATGTCACTTCTTTTTTTTTTTTTTGTCTTTTTGTCTTTTTTTTCTGTGTCCGGCAACGGATTGCAACCCTCAGTGTTGCCCCCGTACCGGACCAGGGACCGGCAATGGGATTGCAAACCTCGGTGTTGCTCCCACGCCTCGCTCAGCCAGTGAGCGGGAGCCGGTCTGTATGTGGGATCCGAACCCTCGGGCGGCAGCGCTGCCGCGCCTCCTAAGCGGCGCACTATCCAGTGCGCCACTGGGCCGGCCCAGAACCACTGCTTTTAAGGCATTTGGTCAGTCCCCTGCCCCAGCACAGGCCTCCTCCTACCCCAGCTCATAAAGCTGGGAGAGAAGAGAGCTCCCATCCTGAAAGTCCCAGAACCCCCAGATCTAACCTTCCTCTCTCTGGCTGCATTTCTTCATGCTCTGTCTCTGGGAAGGGGAAAGAGGGGTCAGCAGCCCTCATCTGACTATCCTGGAGAGTCAGATTCACAGAAGAGAGGGGACCTTTTAGGGGGCAGTCCCTTCCTGAGTAGCTGTGGGTCAAGGTGAAGCCAAAGTTGGGGTCCAGAAACATAAGGGGCCTTGTCACATCACCCCTCCCCCACGCTAGTCCTGCAGGATTTTGTCCTTTTGTCCAGGCCCACCTCACCAGTAGTCGCCTCTTCTAACAGGCTACCATTTCTACTAACTCATTTTGAGTCTACCTCACAGCCCTCAAGCCACAGTCTCAGCTGGTCTGTCCATGTTTCCCTTAGTGGGCTGACATTCCACCATACATCTGCCCCCGTGTTCCCTGTACTCTCTCCTTCCTTCATTTATTCATGCGACATTCAACAGATACTAATAGCACTAGTTCTGTGCCAAGCCCTGTCCTAGGTGATGTCCAAGACTGGCAAAGCCCAGCCTTGCCTATAGGTGACTTACACTCTAGAGGGGAAGAAACAATAAGGAAATAAATTAGATGGCACAGCACGGATAAATGCCTTAGAGAAATGGAAGCCAGGGATGGAGAGTGAGAGGTATTAGAGCATCAGGAAGTGTGTCTGGGCCAAGGACATGTTGAGTCCCCTCACCAGCAGCCCAAGGCTGTGGCAACGTCCGTCCGTTTAGTAGAACCTGTACTTTTTCTCTTTGGGGAGTTCAGTGAACAATCGAGTCCCACAAACATTTGCTGAGCATCGCCCGTGGACGTACCTTAACTTATGTGTACATCATGCACAGGTCTACTGCGTCCGTGTACCGCAGACATTAAATACACCAAAGTGGACATTGTCAGGGGATGAAAAAGCATAAATAGAAATCTGAATTCCTTCACTTCTCACGCCCAGGGGCTCTTGCACCCTACTCCGGAGACCACTGACCCCCAACTGTTTCCCAAGGGTGAAAAGTGTATTCCAGTCCATAGAAGTGGACGCTTGTGAACATCAAGTCGAACTGGCCTCCCTGAGTGGACGCCTTCCAGACAGCAGGACAGTGGGCGCCGGGAGGGCTATCAGAGGCACTTCAGAAAGTAATAATAACGTAGTTTTTAATATATTTTTTGTTTTTTTAATTAACTATTTTTTCATTGTACATGTTTATGGGGTACAGTTTGTTGTTTCACTACCTACATATATTGTTTAACGATCCAATCAGAATCATTAGCATATTTAGCACCTAAACATTTATCATTCCTTTGTGGTTAACATTCAAGATCCTCTTTTCTGGCTATCTTGAAATATACAATACAGTATTATCTACTGTCACCCTAGGGCACCAGAGCTTATTCTCCATGCCTAACTGCACCTTTGTAACTTTGTGCCAGTCCACCAACATTTCCCTGTCTCCCACCCTCACCCCACTTCCTTTCTCTGCCTCTGGTGACCACTATTCTACTTTCCATAATAATAACTTTTTTTTTTTTTGGTGGCTGACTGGTATGGGGACTCAAACTCTTGACCTTGCAGTTGTAATAATAATAACTTTTTAATTACCCAAATGAAAAATGAAAAAATCACCCCTAGTCCCACCACCTAGATATAAAAAATTGCGGTTTACATTTTGTGTTAATACCTTCCTGGCTCTTTCCTGTGCCTATGTAAATATATTTTTAAGCTATTTATTACAGAATGAATACAAATTAACTTAGAAAAACTATAAAATATACCTAAATAAAAACACGGCAACAAAAGCCAACCATAATTCCACCGCCACAGGTAACTGTCATGAACTTTGGGTGTCTTCCCATCCAGATATCCTCCACACACATTCTCAGTGTGTTGTGTGATAGGCACAGATTTATAAATGGATTTTTTGCCTCTTTTTTTAAACAAAAAGTGGAATCACTATTTCATACTGGTTTGAAACTGGTTTGAAACTGGTTTTTGACACCTAGGAGCAAAACCACAAATATCTTTCTCCTTGGCACTAAATATTCTTCTATGATGTCATTTTTTTTTTTTTTTAAAGATGACCGGTAAGGGGATCTCAACACTTGACTTGGTGTTGTCAGTACCACGCTCACCCAGTGAGCTAACCGGCCATCCCTATATGGGATCCGAACCCGGGGCCTTGGTGTTATCAGCACCGCACTCTCCCGAGTGAGCCACGGGCCGGCCCGGATGATGTCATTTTTAATGACTGCATAGTATTCCAGTGCATGCCACTCAGGCCAAGTCACATGCCACCAGCTCCCTGGAGAAGCTGGGGTGGGGCTGGGTGCTTGCTCAGGGAAGCAGACCATGGACAGACTGTTCCTCAGCTTCCTCGTGGGTCCAGCTGGAAGCTGCACCTTGGCTGGGCTTGTCCAGTCCTCTCCTCACTCCTCATTCAGGCACATGGTCCTCACTGGACCCGTCTCCTTCTTTCACTCCCTTTTATCCTTCCCCCCTCCCTCCTCCCTACAGCAGACCATCCTAATGTGTTTACTGTGGATCTTTATCCTTGTGTGTGTTCTTGCAAAATGCTTATTGTTGCTTTGTATGCATGTATTTTTTATTTATGCAAATGAAGCTGTGTTATAGATCGCTTTCTTTGTCTCACTGTCTTCATTCAGCCTGTGTTTCTGAGAGCCATTCACGTCACTATGTGTGTGTTTACTGCATTGTTTTAACGGCTGCAGAATTCTCCTCGATGGTCACCCACCCACCCCCAGCCTCCCCTCCCCACCCGCCACCTCCTGATGGACATGCAGGAGGCTTCTAGCTTCACCAGCACAAATCCTCACTCAGGGCTCCTTTGGGAACTGCGTGATAATTTTTTTGGAATATGCATCAAGGGGGAATTGCTGGGTCATAGGATATGTGTGTATTTAATTTAACAAAGTTCCAATGGATCCACCAGAGGCTTTTAGCAAGCTGCCCCGGGTCCTTCCTGGGATCCACCATGAGATCGTACGGTGAGGAAGTCTGATTCTATCCTAAGAAACAAACCAACATATTCTAAGGAAATAACCGGCGGGGTTCCAAAGAATTATGTTTAAGTATGGCCCAACAGCCAACATTTAGAAGCAGCCTCAATTCCTGATAATAAGGGGATTAGTTAAGCGAATTCTTAGGATGGAATATTATGCAGCCATTTAAAATGGAGTTTGGGGACTGGCCCATGGCTCACTTGGGAGAGCGTGGTGCTGACAACACCAAGTCAAGGGTTAAGATCCCCTTTACTGGTCATCTTTTTTTTAAAAAATGGAGTTTGGAAGAATATCAGATGACAAAGGGAAATGCTCAAAACATAAACTGAGTTTTCAAACGATACAAGTAGGATCTCCAATTTGTTTTAAAAACAGTAATTTTTCAGAAGACCAGGGAACACCTGGGAATGTTAACAGTGCCTTTCTCTTTGCACTAGTGTTATGGGGAATCTCTAATTTCTTCTTTATGTTTTCTTTATTCTCTAACTTTTCTTCAGTGAGAGCATTTAATACTTTTTATAATTAGGATAAATTAAACTTAAAAATAATAAGTACAAAATGTTATACAAGAAGGAAAAAGTCTACCCTGGGATTTTCTAACCTTTCCCTGGAGAAGAAAAAAGAAACTAAAGTTTGTGGAGCCCTTACCCGGAGCCAGGAGCTCGGAGTGCTCCTCCTGAATCTTCTCATTTATTCTGCTGAGGGCACGATTACTTCTCCCATTTTATGGACATGAAAACGGAGGCTCAGGTGGCTCCAAGTGACTTGTCCAAGGTCGCCCAGCTAGCTGTAACCCCTGTGGGCCTGCCTTTTGTCCTAAAAGGCTAGACTTGTGCCCCACCCCGAGAGTCAACATGGAGAAGCCAGGCCCAGATCGCCAAAGTGCAGTGCAGTTAGCAAGGTAAATCTGTTGCAAAGAAAAAAATCCCCATAGTGCATTACCAAGGCAAACGCCAGAAACGGCTTTTCAATTATCCACTACTTTTAGATTTTCCAGGCGGTTGATCCCCTCCAGCAGCATGAAACGTAGAGAGTTTTTGACTGGATGACTTTTCCCAGTTAGAGTCCTTTAAGGAAGAAAATGGTGGGAGGAGAGATCTGGAAGGGCCCTCTCCTTCAGTCAACTGGGACAGCCCCCCGCCTGAAGCCAGTGAATAGCCCGGAGGTCATCTGCAGAGGAAGGGACTGCCGCTGTCTGCTGCCCATTCCCAGACTGCCAGGGCCTCCTGTCTAACTCTGGCCTCTCTTGTTTCTTCCCAACTTCGTTTTCTTCTCCTTTCTTCCCTCAGGGGCACCATCGTGGGGCCTGGATAATCCTTGTCACCTCCCTGAGCCTCAGTTTCCACACTTGTCAAAGGGGACTCCTGATACTTTGTCGGTTTCTTAACTTTTTTTCATTGTGATGTTTAACACACATAGAGAAAAGAATGCAAGACAAAGTCCAGCTCAAAAGATGATCAGAAAGAGAACAGCCATGTAGATACCACCCAGGTCAAGAAATGGAACATAAAGAGCCTCTGTGAAGTCTCCCGACGCCCTTGCGACCATTACCCTCTCCCTTCTCCCCAGAGATAACCCTCCCCTGACTTCTGACTCCGAGAATCAGTCTCGAGCTGCGTGCAGATGGAATCGTGCCATCCATAATCTTGCGCATCTGGCTTCCATGGCTCTATCCTGTTGCTTAGATTCATCCTTGTTGTTTCATGTAGCCATGGCTGCTTCTCCTTTATTTTTGTGTTGTTGTAGAACATACTACCGTACGAAGATACCGTGACTTGTCTGTTTCCTGTTGCTGGACTTTTGGATTGTTTCCAGTTTAGGGCTTTTACCCTGCCTGATTTTAGATTTAGAATTTCTCCACCAGGGGAGACTTAGGTCAAGCTCCTCCCTGTTTATTCCATGGATGAAAGTCCTGAAGCGAGACAGGTGGAGTGGCTTGTGTGCCATGGTCTGGAGCTGGAGTCAGTGCCAAGGCGGCCTCAGACTCGGATCTGACCGCAGTCCTGCTGCCCCTTCTCCTGGGACTGTCAGAGAGCCGCTCGGGAACAGATCGCACACACCACGCTCCAATGCCGTGGACCTCACTCACCTCTTTCAGCTTCAGTCCTCTAGGTGTCCCGTCCCTGTTACCATGACTGAGCAAGAGTCCTTTAGGACGTGCTGCCTACCTACCCTGCCGCCTGCCACCTCCCTCCTGCGTCACATTGGCGTCTTCCTCTTTCTCCCTGCTTGGCACCTTTACATATGCTGGTCCCTCTTCCTGGATGCATTTCCACTGTCTAACCTAGTTAGTGTCAGCACTTACTATTGTGGGGGACAGTTCAGGTTTAACTCACAACTCTGTTGCTTCCTGGGCAAGTGGCTTCAGACACATTATTGAACCTGTCTGGACCTCAGTTTTGTCACTGGTGACCTGGGGATAATAACAGCCATCACAGAGTTTCTGAGAAATTCAATCCCTTCATTCTTTGAACAAGCATGTGCTGAGGGCCACCTTGTGCCAGGTGCTCTTTAAGGCGCTGGCAGATGAGGTGGCATGCACACGATGGCTTAGCGGAGGGCCTGGTGTGGGGTCAGCTGTCTCTTGTCATCCTTCTCGACTCAGACAAGTGTCTCAACTTCGGAGGTGCCTTCTCTGGAGCCCCCTGTCTGGTCATATCCACTGGTCCCTATGACTCCTGAATTTGTTGATCACAGTGTGAATGTCGGTTTCAGTCGTCACTGGCCCCAGCCTGACAAACTGTAGGCCCAGAGTACACCTGTGAAATGAACGAGTGCACAGAACCACCTGCTGTCTTGCAAAGCTATGTGGCATCATCCCCACTTTTCGGCTGAGCAGACTGAGGCACCAGGAGGCACAAGACCCATGTTCTCCCCTCCACCAATGATGGTGAGGCCTCCAGACACCTCTCTGATTGCCTCCTTGTCTGCAAAACAGAACCAACCATTCCCGCAGCCAGGGGATGGGGGAGGGCGTGTGTGATGCGAGCTGCCCCCCCAGAACTGCTCCAAGTTGCCCTTTGTACGGTCAGTGAATTTCAACCGCACAACAGTCCTATGAGTAGGTCCTATTTTTACCCCCATTTTATAGGTAAGGAAACTGAGGCATAGGAGACTAACATTCTTGCATGATGCCATAGTTAGTAAATGGAATTAGGACTCAGGCAGGCAGGCTGGCTGCAGAACTTGATTTCTTCAACCTTCAACATGATTCCTGATGCTTTCTAACTCATAATCGTCCTGGGCTCTATACCCTGGTGACTCGATTATAGAACTGTAAACAAGGCCTGCCTCTTCGTGTCCCCACAGCCCAGCCCAGTTCTGGTCTTGTCCTTGCTCTTCAGGACACTCACGCCAGTTTCCTTCTAGCCCCCTGGCCTCAGTGTGTTCCCCACACCCATCCAGAGTCACCACGTCATCCCCTTACAGGGGACACCTTTCACAAGTTGGCCCCATCCCCATCTCAGATCGGGACTTGGCCCAGCACCTCAGCTATACCAACTCAGGAGTGCCCTCTACTGGGCGCCAGATGCTGCCCCAGCCCCTTAATTCACACCCTGCCCTTAAATACCCACAGTCATGGCTGAGCTTGCCCTGTGCAGGCACTCTTGCTCGTGGGTTACAGATCGCAGTAGTTTAGTCTTCACAATGATGCCATAAAGTGGGTCTCCTCAGCACCCCAAGAGGAACAGAGGGGCAAGTCTGAGATCCACGAGCCCCTCTCCCTGCACTGCCTGTTCCTCCTGTGTCTGACCAGCCCTGGCTAGTCCATCTGCAGCACCCAACTCAGCCCCTGATTTATTTATCGAGCACCTATTTTGTGCCAGGCACCACTCTAGGCTCAGCAAGCAATACAGACACAGATCCCTGCCCTCTCGAAGCCGGGTGGAGAAAGAGACAATATAGAAGAAGAACAACGCCACTGTACGTGAGCTGGTGATGAGCTCTGAGCTGAGCAGTAAAGGGGGGGGGGGGGAGTGCAGAAGTGGCCAGGGAAGGCTGCCCCAGAGCGGGTATTTGACCACGACCTGAGCTTTCACCTTACCCCACTCTCCCACCCCATCCGCTGCTGCCTTGGGCAGAGTCAGGCTGCACTTAGCTGCTTGCACATCCCTCTGATGTAGATCTTCTCACCCCATTGTTTACACCCTGGTTCAGATGCCTGTCTGGGCTCCCCATGGGGAGCCATCTGGCCAGACTCTGCACCCAGGACAGGGCCTGGCCTCAGGAAGGCTCAGGAGGCAACTCTTAGATAGATGAATGGAAGGAGATGAGTAGGAGGAAGGAGGAAAGGAAGAAAAGAGGGAAGGGAAGGAGGGAGGGAAAGAAGAAAGGAGGAAGGAGGGAGAGAAGTCTAGGCCCTGGGCAGTTAGTGCCCCAGTCGGGCCCATACTGGCCCCTGAGATACTTGCCAGTCATTTCCTGCAGGTCAGGCAAGTCCCTGTTGAAGAAGAGAGGCGCAAGTCCCTTATCTCAGGGATGAGAAAGAAATATAAGACGTCACCATAAAAACAGTTGGTGTAAAAAAAACAATTTTTTAAAATTTTGAGTGTGAAAAAATTAGTGCACATACACAAAAAAACCCAATAAGCTTACTAAACTTTTGTTATCAGTCCATTACATTCGAAATGTATAAAAACAACTTATCTCAATAGTGTTAAGATGAACAATTCACTTCATCATTTTCCTACCACAGTTAAATTTTTAATAAAGGATTTTTTTTTATTGATTATAAGTATTAATGACCATCATCACTTGTACCCAAGATGTGATGACCAGATCAATACTATCAGCATGCGCATTACCACAAATTGCAGTTTTTTCCTGTGTCCCCCTTCCCACCTCCACCCCCTGCCAACCCTAAGTGTATTCTTCCCCTCTGCAAGTCCAGCACACCACTATGGTCTTTTTAATAAAAGATTTCTTGACAGTTTGTTTTCTTAAAAACCCCAGCAGAGGGCCGGCCCAGTGGCGCACTGCTACAGTGAGCCGCTTGGGAGCACGGTGGCGCTCCCGCCGGGGGTTCGGATCCCACATACAGACCGGTTCCCGCTCACTGGCTGAGCAAGGTGTGGGAGCAGCACCGAGGTTTGCGATCCCGTTGCCGGTCCCGGTCCGGTACGGGCGCGACACTGAGGGTTGCGATCCGTTGCCGGACACAAAAAAAGACAAAAAGGAAAAAAAAAAAAAAAAAACCCCAGCAGAACACAGTGGGATTTTTTTTTCTGCTTTAGTAATGTTTACCTACCACAACTGAAGTGGAAAGTCCCTTGAATAAGCCAAGTTGCAGGATAAAAGAAGATGGAAGAGTCCCCCTTTGCAGTTTGGGGTGCAGTCACTGGTGGGGGCCACATCCCCTTCCCTGATTCTTGTCTGTATCTTTTTTTTTTTTTTTTTTTTTTTTTTTTTTTTTTTTTTTTTTTTTTTTTGTCCTTTTCGAGACCGGCCGCACCGCACTCAGCCAGTGAGCGCTGTGAGTGCACCGGTCATCCCTATACAGGATCCGAACCCACGGCGGGAGCGCTGCTGTGCTCCCAGCACCGCACTTTCCCGAGTGCGCCACGGGCTCGGCCCCTTGTCTGTATCTTTGACACCCAGCACAGAACCTGGCACAGGTGGAGGTGGGCTGAGCAAATGGGGCTGATTGAGGAGACTTGGAGGCATAGGGACTGTCAGAGGTAGGCCTGAGGCCTAGCTTCTCTGCTGTATCATAGAATGTCAAAATCTTCATCGGGCCAAAGATGTCAGGGTGAGAAGCTGGGGATTTACCTGCTCCAAGAACCAGTCCCCACGTTGCCTGTTCTATTTCATGTCACTGGCCTCGGGGGTGACCTGGCCCATGGCATCAGAGATCATTTGGTTTGGGATGTTTCAAACTGTTCCTTGGAGGTGTCCCAGGCCTGCCTCCCTCCTACAATCAGGGGCCTCCACAATCTGTGAAAACTATTGCCAGTTAAATGATCATTTATATAATTATGTTTAATGTTTCTCTTCCCCACTGGAGGTTGGGCTCTAGGAAGACAGGATTGTGTCTGTCTTATCCACGGCTGGATCCCCAGAACCCAGCATGACACGATACATAGCAACTCTCAAAAAATATCTGTCAAATGAGAAGCTCAATACATGATAATGTATGAATGAATGGGTCTGCAGCTCAGAAAGCACACTGAAAGCCGCAGACAGCCCGGCTCTCTCAGTTTAGGGTGGGTGGGCATGATGGTTTGGGTTCTGTGTTTGGGCTCTGTGTTTGGGTTCAGGAGAAGCAGACTTTTGAGCCTTGGTTCTGCTCCTTTGGAGCTGTGAGACTGAGGACAAATGACTTTACCTCTCTGAACATCCATTTCCTCAGCTGTAAATTCTCAAATCGGGGGATGGTGGGTAGGGGCACATGGTTGATAACCCCCATGTGACAGAATTTGTGCGAGGATTAAATAAGATCAGAGATCATGACCTCAGCACGTTTAGTACGGACCCTGGCACTTCATTGGCATTAACAAATAATGATTCCCCACCCCCTTACTTTATTGAGAACCTGCTCAAGATGGTTCTTTGTTTTAGAGTCAGATATGGGATTAGCCTTGTATTGTTTGGTAGGAGAAAAAAGGACTTGACTGGCTTTGGTCTTTAGGTGTGCATGTTAAATTTTAAGGGCAACTACTAAAAGAAGAGAAAATATATAAATTCTAAAACAGTAGAGAGGGAAAATGGAATCAGAAGAAATTCAATCAATACAAAAGCTGACAAGATGGAAAAGAATAGGCTACGAAAATTGGAACAAATAGAAAGTACAAAATAATGATGTAGGAATAATTTCAAACACAAGAGTACTTTTAAAAGTTCATGGAAAGATAGAATTAAAAGATAATGCCAATCTTTTCATGAATTTTTTGAAGTACCTCATATATTAGCAATTACAATAAATGTAAATGGACTAAACTTCCAGTTAAAAGAGATTTTCAGACTAAATTTAAAAACCCAAAAGACATACCTAAAACATGAAGACAGAAATGATGAAAGTAAAAATGATAGCAAATGCTAACCAAAAGAAAGGTGATGTGCTGGTAACACCAAGGGCTGGAGGTCAATCCCTGTACCTGCCAGCCAAAAAAAAAAAAAAAAGAAAGAAAGAAAAGGTGATGTAGCTTTAATAATATCAGACACATGGACTTTAAGGCAAAAAGAATAAGTTGGAACCAGAACACTGGTGCTTTTCAGCTCCCAAGTTCTGTCACTGAGAATTTCAACTTGTTAGCATTGTCACCCAGGCCAAAAGGTGTGCAGGCACACATCAACCAACACAACTGGGGCATTCTCCAGTAGGAGCCTTGTGCACTCCAGTCCATTACTCAGTGGACCCTGACGGAAGTCTGCCATGAACTGGCCTTGCACTGGGTGCTGGGAATGTGGAAATCATTGTGACAGAGTCTCTACTCATATGGACTCACATCCTTGACAAGGAGACAGATTACAATCGGTGTGATAGAAGTCTAATAAGAGAATGTATATGACAGGTAAGGGAGCAGGAGTAAGAGGCTTTCCCAGGGAGGGCAGTTGGAATTTTCCACACAACAAGGAGGAGGACAGCATTCCGGGAAAGGGGCAGAGGCTGTGCAAAGGCAAAGACTGGACCGAGTGTGGCAACAATGGGGAACCTCATGCATCTCTCTACTATGGCTGGAGGAGAGGAGAGGAGATGGCAGAGGGGCCGGTTCTGAAGGACCTCTCATACTGGGTGGGAGACAGGAGAGCTGGGAGAAGGGATGTGGCGAGGTCTGACTGCATTTTAGATCAATCTGACAGCCAGTGTAGAGGAGAGATGCTGCTGGGGGGAAAACTGAAAGTCCAGAGATTGGACAAATGTTAATGATCATTATCAGCTGGATTAATAATTTTTATATATATACAATTGTGCATTTGCCATGTCCCAAGCATTTACTATCTTATCCCAAGAATTCACTATCTTGTCCAAGCCTCACAATAACCCCATGGTACCTATGAGGAAAGTGGGCTCAGAGAGGTTAGAATACTTGCCCAAGGTCACACAGCTGGCCAGCAGGAAAGACAGGATTTAAACCCAGCCCCAGCTCTTCCCCACTAGGCTGCTTGGCAGGCATCCTATAGAGAAGAGAATAGATTGGAATTCTGTTCAAAATAAAGGGACTCAATGGGCTGAGCCCGTAGCGCACTCGGGAGAGTGCGGCGCTGGGAGCGCAGCAGCGCTCCTGCCGCAGGTTCAGATCCTATATAGGGATGGCCGGTGCACTCACCGACTGAGCGCAGTGCAGGCGGTCTCAAAAAGGACAAAAAATAAAAAAAATTAAAAAAATAAAGGGACTCAATATTTAAAGTAACCCTATGGCACATCTTTTAATAAAACCGGGCTTCCCTTTGCAGTGATAGCCCCATCCCACTTAGTTCTCAAGTTCATTATTAAAGTGATTGGCAGGGGGACCCCACCCCCTTTGGGAGTGTCCCTTCATCTTCCTTCATAACACCCCCTTCCCATTGCAACTGAGACAAAGCTTGCTGAGGGGGAGCAGCCTCAGGCTCTACCCTTATGGACATGCTGGTATCACAGTCCTGGGTCCAGAGGCACCAGGGAGACTTGGAAAAGAGCCATTCTGGGCTGGAACCCCAGCTGCACACTTCCCAGGGCCAGTGGCTCTGCTGAATCACTTGACTTCACTGAGCCTTGGTCTCCTTGTCTCTGAAATAGGGTATGATGCTCACCTCCAGGGTTGCTGGGGGAGCAAACAGGAGGCTGGGGTGCTGCAGAGGCCAGGGAGCTGCAGGCAGGGGGCAAGCATGAAGGGTGCCACTTCCTAGTCGTGCTTCACTGAGCCATTTCCCGTTTCTGAAAAGTAGGCCTAACAACACCTGCCTTGGTGGAAGTAGGAGCTGGCAAATGTAGACTGCCCAGCCCAGAGCCTGGCATTTGTCACCTGTGCTCAGTGTGCAGGTGCCAAACCTTCTGCTGAGCAAATCTCACCTATTACTTCGAGTCTTCAAAACAGCTCTGCAAGGTTGACATTGCGATGCCCTTTCACAGATAACGGCCCCTCACCACATTCGTGCCTTCGACACTGCTTTATCCCCAGTCAGTAAATAACCAATGGAAAAATGAATGAATGAGAGACCTAATGAATGAATGAGAGGTTCAGAAGGGAGAGCAGGAGTTTTCCAGGTGGACGAAATGGAAGGGCGTCCTGAGCAGAGAGAACAGCATGTGCAAGAGTAGAGTACCTGGTGAATGGCCCCAGGACTGATGCTGGCTGGCATGTGCCTGGAGTGAGGGGTGCAAGTGAGTGGGCTATGCAGAGGGGAAGGGAGAAGGCAGATGCCAGGCCAGGCAGGACTTGTGTCTCATCCTGTGGCTGGAGTCATCCCAAAAGCAGCAGTAGGGGAGTTCCCACAAGGGAGTGCCCCAAGCCATCCCAAGATGAAGCCACTTGGGATTCCAAAGAAAGAAGCACTAAATGCCAGGGTGATCAGTCCAAAGCATTTGTTAGGGAAACACACACAGAGTGCACAGCGTATCCTCTCAATGGACAGCAAGCGAAAAGGGGTGTTCTGCATTGGTATGTCCACAGCCAGGGGGTCAGGCTATGGAGTTTACATGAGAGTTTAAGGAATTCGGCTCAGGGCCAGGGCCAGTTTCTTTCAATGCTTTGGGCAATGACCTAGATAGCTTTATCAGTGCCTGGGAAAGTTCAAGGCCCTGGTTTGGGTTCAAGCCTGCAGGGAAAACCCTGCAGCTGGCTGGGTCACGGAGCGATTAAGGCGCTCTGCAATTTTTGGTCAGGACACAGGAAGAAAGCAGGGGAGTTGGGGGACTCCACAGCTTCCAACACAGGCTGAATTTCCCCTGAGGGCACTGGGGAGCCATGAAGGCGGCTAGAGGAGGGCAGAGGCAGGGTCAGCTCTGGGTGCAGCAACCCCAGAGGTGGACTGGAGTGGAGAGACTGGAGGCCAGGCAGGAGGCTGGGGCAAGGGTCCAGGGAGAGAGAATGAGGCCTAAGCTGGGCTGTAGGGATGGGGAGCAGATGGAGAGGGGATAGCCGTGAGATGTTAAAAAGGGATAGAGCTGT